GTGGTTGTGGTTGTGGTGGTTGTTGTTGTTGTTGTTGTTGTTGTTGTTGTTTATTTTTAGGTGCTAGGTCTTGCAACTTGTGTTGCCCGAGGCGACGACTCTGGCACCAGTGTGGGCCGGACTGTGTCAGTGCTACGTGTGGCACGTGTCTTGCGGGTGCTGCGAACAGCGCGGATCGTGCGCATGGCACGGCAACCAGGCTAAAGGGTATAGATGCAAGCAGAGTAGAGGGGCGGCTGGCAGAAAGAACAGCAGACACGGGTACGACACTATCGCAATCATGAAAGGTACATGCCAGAGCTCCTGATCCTCATCAAAGGGCTCATGGTCGCAGCTCGCTCGGTCTTCTTCACGCTGGTGCTGCTGCTGCTGATAACGTATGTGTTCAGCATTGCTTTTGCGAAGCTAAGCGAGGCGGGTTCCTGGTGAGAATCTAATCTACATGACTTTGCTAATATTGCACTGCGCGCCTATGCATGAAGGAACAACATATCCACCAACAAATTGATTCAAGAAGGTCATGTCCGGAGACACGTTTTCCAACAAATTGATTGCTTTTTAGCGTTTCTGAATCAGCTGCCGCTAGAATACTGTTTCATCTTTGGCCTGCTGGTACAAGCACTCGGGAAGTGGACGAGAACGCAGCCCCCTGACAGGGCACTGCTTTGGAAGACGTCTTCCCATCCATGCCTGCTTCTTTGTTGACTCTTGTGGTGAAGAGCGTCATGCCAGACAGGGAGCTCTTCTTCAGGGAAGTCGCTCAGGAGAGTTGGTTTCTGGGGGCCTTGGACCCTCGACCACCACGAGACACTGGTTCTAAGTCATAAGTTTACAAGTTTACCTAGTTTCAGAGCTTTCAGGGGGCGGCTGAAACCATGCACGCTACCATGAGACATCTCCTTTTGGATTTTGAAACGGGCTTGGCAAGTAGAATGGCCTCCGGCTCCTCTACCACTTCAAATTTCTTCAGGATAAAAACTTGTCTTTGTTAGTGCTGCTTTGGGTCTTCTGCGTGATGTCTCCCTCATCACACCTTTAGATTCTTGGTGATGAGGTGCTGGTGTTCATTTTAATCGGATCGTTGATTGTGTTGAACATGCTTGTGGGCATTTTGGTGGAAGCCGTGCAGACGGTGGCAACGATGGAACATGAGCAAATCCGAGTGGACCTCGCAAAAACTGTTGCGAAGCTGCACCGGTAGGGCTCCTGTCATAAGCTATTCCAGTTACGGTGACAAAGTTTGTAGCATCATGTGGGGCCATCTCAGTTCTTGGTCGGTGTGCTTCATAGCGGGACTGCTTTTTGCATTGGAAGCCGCTGGCTTTGCTTAGCACTTAATTTGAGAACAAAGACAGCTTTAAGCTGAAGCTTCAGCACCATTCATCAGAACGAGCTGTGGGAGACCTAGACTCGACCTCGGATATTGTCCCCAGGTTCTGTGGCAGCTGATAACAAGGGGAGGTGCAGATGAGGACAAGGACAACAAGATCTCCGAGGAGGAGTTTTTAAAGCTACTTGGACCGAGGAGTAAGCTGCAAATTTCACTGAGCATTTGCCTTAGCAAGTCCAACAGTTTCCTGGGCTAATTGAATGGCTAGTTGTACCAACTGGACCCGATACAACTTGTAGCCTCTATTAGATGATAGGTGTCCTTTACGGCTCTGGTCTAGATCCACTAGGCCCTTGGCCCAAGTCTTTGCAAGGTTGATCGCCCGTGATGACGCCAGCGAGGCGTTAACAATGCTCGGTGTTGACATCTTCGCTGCCAGAGAGTACAGCAAGCCACTAGGAAAGTGGCAGGATGGCTTTAGGTGCAGTTGTAGGACACATGTAGCTATCCAACGGCCTTTCTACTTTGAGCGGGGCGTAGCACAATCGAGCTGGTTTCTGCCTACTTGGATGCATGCTGCTTCTCACTGTCCAAGCTGCCCAAGGCTGCTTTTTGAGGATGGCGAACCTCTTACATTTGGTGAGTTCATGGATGCAATGCTCACGCTTCGCGGCTCTAATCACACCACGGTAAAGGATATTGTAAACCTACGCAAATTTACAGCGGACGAGTTCTCTCAGCTCCACGAAGTGCTGAACGATATGTGTCGTTTCTTGGCTGGTGGCCCTGCTGCAAATAAGAGGTGAGTCGGGGGGCCCTCACACAAGACACTGTTCGGAGCAGTAACGCCCAACAAGGTCCCCTACAGCTTTATTAAAAAAAGTATGCTTTCTACAGTGAGGGACTGACATTGGCTGGAGGGTAAAGCGGGCCTAAGTTGGATGTTCATTCTGTGTTTGTCCGCACTTGTTTGAAGGCCGCAAATAGATTGCTGCAAGAATCGTGCACTATTCCTTCAATGTTTGGCATTGCCCTTTCTGTTGACGCCTCTCAGGTCAAGGCATGTCTGCCAAACTCGCACAAGATTTATCCAATGAGGGAGCGGGTGAGAAAAGCCAGTGAGATGACGGGTGAACCACGTATGAAGATCAAGTGTAATGTTTGTTGAAGTACCGTCGAAGACGGCAGGCTTCTGGGAGAGTCGCAAAGTTAATTTCCAGTCTCATGTGTTTCATGCTTTGTGCGTGCGCAGCTGAAAGGCTGCCACAAGTGCATGAGTGCTTGCCTTGTGCATGGTGCATGTGCAGCTGCACTAATGTTTGCAGCTCGCATCGTAAGTTCTGCATATCCAATCAGGTGATGATGGACTGCTGGCGGAATCCTTTGACCTCTCGTTGGGACATGCTTGCAACTTGATCTGTTGTGTCGGCACCGTTGGTTCCAGGTTACATCTGCCTGAGTCTATCGTTTGGCGTCAACATTCCGGCTCAGCCAGAACGCTGAGGGTTTGTTGCAAGCGGCGAATCCCGTGACCAGGGCCTGTTGGGATGCAAAGCACCTTGCTGACGGCCTGGTCGCAGTCATTTTTGGTTGATTTGGGCGTGGATTTCCTGAAAGTCCGCATGTTTTGGTCCATGCAATACTGGTCCTTGCAAGCCTGCCGGCGGCAAGTTGGGGAATCCTCGTGCATTCTTCTCCTGATCAACTTTGACTCTACCGTTGAGCCATTCTGGACTCAAAAGGAGCGCGTCGGAGAGGGGCATCCAAAATTATTCAGAGAATGCTGCTGCTGGCTTCCTTCAATACCATTGCCATTGCCGACATCAGGCATTGCATGCATATGTGGCATCCCAACGCAGCATTCAGCCTTTCACGGGCAACTCCTTTAAAAAGCATTCCCCCAACATGAACCACGGATCGTTTGATGGAAGCAGCTGACAGTCGGAAAAGGCAGTGTCCGCATCTCGCACTCAGGCCTATGCATTCTAGCCGTAGTTCAGGTACCAAGGAAAGAGCACAAGACACAAAGGGCAGACTTGTGTAGGGACTTGGTGATGCAAATGTCAGCGCGTGGCATTAAAAATAACTCGCCAAGCGGTTCGACCTCCCACTTTGAGCGGGGCGGTCCATTTCGCAGTTTCACCCAAAGCGCGCTGCCCGCAGAGCTTTGAAAAAAAAGCAAGGTGTCCAACATAGACCTGACTGTGCGACCTGCTAGGCAGGCTACCCCTTCATCAAGCCTTGCTGAATAGGTTTTCTCTCAAGCACAGGGAGCGCCCGATTGGAGGTCAACCGCATGTAGATCAAGAGGAGTGGGTCTAGCAGTCTAGCACCAAAGGAACAACACAGAGCAGCGTCGAAAAACCCACAGCTTCCAATCCCAGTCTTCTTGGAGGATCCTTGCAGTGGAACCCCAATGTGGTACCCTACACCTATACTGCCACTGGGTTTATTTCCAGGAACCTGAGGAGGGATCTCCTTTCTAGATTCTCCCAGGGATCAGGGTTCCTGGCGTCATGCCGCTGCCCCGCAAGTCCAGTGAGGGCCTGAAGCTAGCTTAAATTAAGGCATAATGTTTGTAAGATAGTGGGATGTTGCATATTTGTGGTAACTTGATTTCAAGGGGGGGCACCTTAAGGAAAGTGGCCCCGTTTTTCGTGTGCTGGGGTCTATTCAGGCCCCCAATTTTGGAGACTCCCAAACCAGAGCAACCTAGGAAGGCTGCAGCCAGCAATTTGGCAGCGGTCCGCCAGGAGCTAGGTTGTATGGACCTCCCCATGGTAGGATTGAAGTAATTGGTTGGAAGAATGGAACTACTAAATGGCGGTTGGGTTTGGGGTAGGTTTGGGGACCTTGTTTAAATGAAATAATGGAGAATCAAACGGAGAAGCAGAGCGAAAGCGAAAAAGGGGGTATAATGGAGGGTGTTAAGGAGCTAAAACTAAATCACCACAATGCGGATGCAGCATAGAATGATGCGTACATGTAATAGCCATCCAGCAGGAGCTGGTCCTCGGCCATCAACAGCTTGTTCAGAAGTTGGATGCGGAGCTCATCCGCATCAAGAGCCTCTGCTCCACGTCAGAAAACTTGGCCTCTCCAGACTGTGCCAGAGACGCAATTCATGCAGCTCCTGTCGCAAAACCTGCTTTTATCGATCTTCCTGGCACGCCCGAAGAGCCGCACGTAGTGGGCCATGAGCGCACAGATCAAACTGTGGGCTCGCTTGCAACCTTCACAACAATAGCTGAGCAGCGCAAGAAACATATGGCTTGGATCCGTAAAGTAGAAGAAGGCAAGATCACGAAGAGGAGCTCAAAGACCTCGGAGGAGGATGACCAAGCGCGTGTATTCTCCAGACTGAACCCCGACTACGCAGCGCAGGTCGTCCGCAAAAACGCGATCTCCAGGTTCGGTTCCGAGCTCCCCGACACTTATTCGAACTGCTGCACAGGCATTGTTCAACACGCATGCTTTGAGCGCCTGTCGGCCATCATGATTTGCATCAATGCTGTGTGGATTGCGGTGGACATTGAAATCAACTCTGCAGAAACACTCCTCCAAGCCGGTGCAGGGGTGATTGTTGCAGAAGCTACTTTCTTGTTGTACTTCTCGCTCGAGCTGTTCCTCCGATTTTGGGCACAGGAACATGCCCGAAACTTGCTGAAGGACTATTGGTTTCTTTTCGACTTGGGACTTGTGCTGCTTATGCTGATCGAGACATGGCTGGTACCAGCCATCATTCTGCTGATTGGAGCCGGAGAAACTGGAGGCCTTGGACGTGCCGCAAACGTTTTGCGGGTGGTCCGCTTGCTGCGTGTTCTGCGAACTGCTCGCATTGCAAGGATTGCACGCTACATGCCTGAGCTGATGATCCTGATCAAAGGGCTCATCGTGGCAGCACGATCAGTATTCTTCACCCTGGTTCTATTGCTGCTCATGACCTATGTCTTCAGCATAGCCTTGCTGTCGCTTAGTCAAGGGACGGATGTTGGCGAAGCCCTCTTCCCGTCAATGCCAACGACCGTTTTGAGACTTGTAGTACAATGTACGATGCCAGACTCAGAAGCCTTCTTCAGCACTTTGGAAAGCGAAAGCTGGGTAATGGCTGCGTTATTCCTGGTGTTCATTCTTGCCGGGTCGCTGATTGTACTCAACATGCTGGTCGGCATTTTGGTTGAGGCCGTGCAGACAGTCGCAACAATGGAGCACGAGCAAATCCACGTGGACTTTGCCCAGCATGCATCCTGTCTGTACTGGTGCGCAAGGTCCTCATCTAGTCAGGTTGCTTTTGACCAATTTCACTTCTAGCTTGTGCCGCATGCGCAACGGGTCATTATGCCGAAAATAAGGTGCTTCATGACTTGATCCAGGAAGGGAATGCCGATGAAGACGGAGACAATCTGATTTCTGAAGGTGAGTACGAGAGGCAGGAGTATGGATTCTTCCACTTTGCATGACATCAGTAGTAGGCTTCAATGCTTCGATCGCCAGGATATCGTTTAGCAGCGTATACTATCATACTGCTTTGGTTTTGCAGGCTCTTGGAGAGGCCTGAAGCTTTCACGGCCTTGACACGGCTGGGAGTCGACATTTTCGCGGCGCGGGAATACGGAAAGTGGCTTCGTCACAGTTGCCGTAATGCCTGACGCAGCCATACGCAGAGCAGTCTTGTCAGATCAAGTTGGTGTGGCAGCCTGTCCGCTGGCAATCTTCAGGCTTCTTTTCGAGGATGGAGTGCCCCTGACTTTCCCAGAGTTTATGGAGTCGATCCTGACTCTTCGTGGCTTCTCGAGCTGCAGCCCAGTAGAACCCGGAGTCCTTGCTTGCAATCAGTGATGCTTTAGTCAAGTCTGCTGTGACAAGGCTCCAACCAGAGCACCGTCAAGGACATCGTGAACCTGCGAAAGTTTACGGCCGAAGAGTTCTCAAACTTGCACACCATCCTGACTGACTTGTATCAGATGGTGGTCAGCTTCCTGCCCAATGATATGTTGCTGTAGCTTATGTCAGGCAGCGCAGCTTCAGTGCATGCAGCCAAGGCTCTTCGAAGAAGGCCTAAGCCTTCTCGTGCTGTGGGCCACAGGCATATGATGCCTTCAGGCAGCACATGAGGTACGTCTAGAGACGCCTGGCTCGTTGGAGCAAAGAGCGCTTACTGTTACAGACTTCATCTGCTGCAAAAATATTCTTTTTACATTCTGGTAAACGAGCGCCTTCCGTTGTAGGGATGCAGCTGAAGTAGTGTAAATTAAAACGAAGATGCTTCAACGGATATGGGTGTGCCTGAGGTCATGGAAGCTTGGTGGTGATGCCCTGATCCTAGCGCAGAAGAAACAAGTGTAAGTTGCGGACAGCAAATATTATGCTAGCTACCTTTGTATGTCCCGATAAGGAATTATGTGCGTGAAGTGCTAGCCAGGCTTCACGGTTGGCGTGCTGTGGGACTCTTACTTGTCCTCAAAGACTCCCGCAAGGGCAGCGTTTCACAACCCCACCCATGGCTTTGGGGCTGGCTTTCGCATGTATGTGCATGCCACACGTGAGGGAATGCACTTGCGCGTCGCCACCGACATCTAGATATGGAATGGATGTGGATAGGGCTAGTGGTCCTCTCGACTGATCAATCAACTCGTCCCCAAAAGTTTGGCAGATGTTTTGGTTAGTTAGTTGGGGTAAGTGTGGAGTGAAGCAACTTTGTCGGTGAGGGTGAATTCGAGGGTCGGGAAACTTATGCTTGAGGTCTTGCTGGCTCGACTGATGTGAATGAAAGGACAGGATAACCCTGTAGGGCGCTTCCTTCTTGCGCAATGACGGAATTGTGTGGCGCCTGTTGGTGGAGAGGCATATTTTGCGCGGTTTTTGAAGCTTCAGAAGCCAGATCCCACGTGTTTCGCCTGCCGGTTTCCAAGGAAGCTGATCCCGGTTCCACGTGTTTTTGCGTAGCTATCGAAACTCTAGAAGGTCGATTCCACGTATTTTGCGTGGTTTTCGAAGCGCTAGAGGCCCGATTCCACGTATTCGTGGTTTTCGAAGCGCCAGAAGCCCGATCCCACTTGTTCTGCGTGTGATTTGCGTTCTCTTTGAAGTTGCAGAGGCAATCCAACGTATTCTGCGTTTGTTTTCGGTACTCCAGAAGCCCGATCCCACGTGTTTCGCGTGATTTCGAAGCTCCAGAAGCTCAATCCCACGTGTGTTGGGTGCGGTCCTACGTATTTTGAGTGGTTTTCGAGGTGTTGGAGGCCCGGCCCCACGTTTTTTCATGACTTTCGAAGCTCCAGACGCGCGATGCCACATGTTTTGCCTGTTTTTCGACGCGACAGAAGCTCGAATTGTATTACTTCAAAAGCGAAGAGAGACAAGTTGGCGTGGAGTCCCGCGTCGGGCCTTGAGGCTCTGGAGAGAAGGTAATTGCGGTTTTTGTGCTCCCTTAAAGACGAAAAGAGACTGTTTGGAGTAGAGTCCCGAATCGAGCCGGGAGGCTCGAGGGAGGAGGAAACTGAACTACGGTAAAGGCAGTCGGCAGGAGCCGATTTTGTGGTTTTCCCCAGGCAGGACAGGACCTTTTCTGGATCGTTCCAAGAATCCTAGAAGCCTTCAAAGTACCGGGATATGCTGTTTCAAGGGCTCCCAGGAGGCCCTTGATCTTTCCGGCTTCCGGCGGGATTCCCCTCCAGTAAGGGGTGTTTGGCCTATTTCCCAACTTCTCCCAGGGCCTGTGAGGCTTCCCAGCCCAGGCTTGTTTGGGTTTTGCAGGCGCTTCAAGGGCTTGCTGAGCCTTCAGCTTTCCGACGAAGACGGCAAAGGACGGTAAAAGAAAGAAGCTCACGCAAGAACGTGGGGAAAAAACAGGATATTAGGCTGGTTTATCATTGTGGGATGAGTAGCGTTTCAACCGCGTGCTCAGATTCCATCTGCATCCAGCCGCAGCACTCATTCTCGACAGTCTCCAGAGTGTTTAGGGCCTGATGGTAGTGATGCCTTGATAGCTGGTCAAATCTTCTTTTCTGTGAAATTACACCCATGTCAGCACTGGTTTCTCTCTGCCTATCACATCAGGCCAGCTTAAATCCCAGGTCACGCGCGAAGACTGCTACATGTTCACTCTTCAAAAGATTACATGTTGCAGCCAAACTCGCATCGTGGCCTATTAGGCCCCTCCCCTTTCAACAATGCTAAGGCATGTTGAAGTTCGAGAAATTAAGATCCCCAAGCACTCTCTTGCGAGACGCAAGTGCCGCACAGGGACAGCAGGTATAGAATGCAAAATATATCAAAGCATGGTCGCGTATTTCGTTACTGTGCCAGCAGTGTACACGTAAAGTTATATTGGTCTCGCTTTCACTCTCCAGACCCTCGCGGAGAAATGCTGTCTTCCGCAGCTGCAGTCTGAGGCAGCATGGGGATTCAATTTCAAAGATACTGTTTCAAGTCGTGTGATTTCTTTGGTGCGCGGAGCCTGATGTCACAAATTTCAGCGTTTGCAGCGCACTTTCCAGCCATTGACCTGTGCTGCTTTTGTGAGAAAAGCCAAGCAGAGCTGGCCCTGCAGTGGTTGTAGTTGCTAGAATAATGGCAGTGGTAGCTGGTGCTGCATTTGAAGAAGACAAAAAGCAACAGGACTGGTGATTAGTGGAAACATAAGGGAATAATGATGAATAAGATGAAAGGCAGTGAGTAGTGGCACCTCATGTACCTGTGCACTTGTTATTGAGGCTGGTGTTTGTGGTATTTGTGGTGGCGCTAGAATGGTTGTAGCAACCTTTCTACTTCTAGCATGAGTGTGCTACAGCTTTTTCCGCTTCTGCTAATGGGCCTCTTTTACTTGAAGCACAAAAGCACACATACATAAAGGCCAAAAATTCGCAGTGTGCTTGCAAAGGCAGAAAGCTCAATTGAATGAACGCAGGCCGCTGTCATAAATTGCATCCAACAAGCGCTTCTGCCACTATGTACTGCAGCATCTTCAGGCGAGCGGCCTTTCATAGAATCATGGAATGTTGGCCGAGCATTTGAACTAAGAATCTTGGACTAGTGCCTGTTGCAAGATGACTTCCAGCTCAGCTCTTAATCTTCTCGGCAACGATAAGGTTTTAATTCCAAACAAACAGCTTGCACCACGCCATCGGCCTCCATAGTGACAGCTAGCGGCAGCATGCCTCTCAGTCCGAAGTCTCGCGAGACGCAGCTGACCCGAGTACTGGATGGCTTGGGAAGTTTCAGGTCTGAGCTAGCAGCCAGCCAGAAGCTGGTGCTGCGAAAGTTAGATGATGAACTCAGTAGGATCAAGAGCCTCAGCATTGCGACTCCTATTGCTCCAGTGCTGACCTCAGATCAACTGCTGGAGACAGAAGTTGACGAGTCCAGTTATCCAATCCCGGTCCAGTTGAGTTCCTTACCACCGGCCGCAGCGTGGGCCAGTGAGGCCAACTCCTGGGGTGCTTTGGCCGCTAAGCTCCCTGGAGAAGTGGAGGAGGAGGAGCCTGTATCTGCCATCCACACCTTTGCGAGTTTGCCCACTGTCGCCCAAGAGCGCAAGAAGAACTTGCCATGGATACATAAGCACGAGTCGAGACCTCGTCGAAAGACTTCAACATCGGAGGATCCTGATGAGGGGCGTGTGTTTTCACAGCTGAACGCCAATCATGCTGCAGACATGGTGAGGAAAGCTGCCATTGAAGACTTTGCAGGAGAAAGAAGTAGATCTAAGTTTCCAACCAGATGGGAACGAGTAGCAAGACATCCCTGCTTTGAGCGAATGTCCTTGTTCATGATCTACCTCAACGCTGTGTGGATTGCTGTCGACATCGAGTTCAATGACTCAGCTGTGGTGTTTGAGGCCGCACCTGTGTTCGTGCTGATGGAAATAGTCTTCCTACTATACTTTAGCAGTGAGTTTGTGGTGCGTTACATGGCTCACGCGAGCTTCCGGAGTGCGGTGAAGGATTCCTGGTTGATATTTGACTTTCTTCTTGTCCTCCTCATGGTGCTTGAGACTTGGCTTGTCCCGTTGGTTGCTATATTGATCGAGGGTACTGGAGGTGGAGCGTCGGCTGTTGGTCGAAGTGCTACGGTTCTCCGTGTGGCTCGCATTCTTCGGGTTCTGCGCACTGCCAGGATAGTCAGGGTGGCCAGGTACATGCCTGAGCTCATGATCCTCATCAAGGGACTTGTGGTTGCAGCACGTTCCGTCTTCTTTACCATGGTGCTCCTGCTGCTGATCACATATGTGTTTAGCATCGCCTTCCTTCAGTTAAGCCAGGCTTACAGCTCCGAGCTACTCATGGACAAGTACTTTCCCACAATGCCAGAATCTGTTCTCACTCTCATTGTCCACTGCATTATGCCAGACCAAAAGGAGTTCTTCGATGAGGTGAAAGGCGAGAATTGGTTTCTGGGAGCGTTGGTGATCATTTTCGTTCTGGTCGGCTCCTACATTGTGATGAACATGCTTGTTGGCATATTAGTTGAAGCAGTGCAAACCGTGGCGACCATGGAGCACGAGCAAATTCATGTGGACTTTGCAAAGAAGGCCTCTCAGCCCCTTTGTAGTGAGGAAATGAATGCAGGATTGCCTGACCCTTTAAATGCAGCCTTGGTGTGCGCATTGTGTAACCCCTCGTAGCCCAGGATGAGTCCATCGCTGTGGCTTTTCACACTTGCCGCAGCTAGCACACTGAGCAAGGGAAGCACAGATTGCACGACCATTCCAAATTGCCATCAGTGATGGGAGGGTAGTTCAGTCGCAAACCTCTCCCAACATGCCCTGCATTCAGTCTCAGGGCACGTTGCCCAAACGCAGGTGCTGTGGGAGATGATGATGGAAGGGAATGCCGACCAAGATGGTGACAACCGAATCTCAGAGGACGAGTTCGTCAGGTCCTGCTACTGTGAATTTCTTTCTTGCGTGTTGCACAGTGGAGGGTTAGCGCATGTTAGCGCCTGTCACATTCCGGGAGGCTCCTGGAGCGCCCAGAGGCCTCTCTGGCCCTGATGCGTTTGGGTGTCGATACATACGCTGCCATGGAGTACGGACAGTTCCGCGGTAGAAACACAGGTAGCTTTGAGATTACGTGGAAGCATGATCCATTGTCACATAGTCTGCAAGTTGTCACGGGCTTTTTCCGGTGACACCAGAAAGCCTTCCACGATTTCTACAAGCTGGGCTTCAGAGCGCTAAGGCTGCTGTTCGAGGATGGGCAGCCCCTGACCTTCGGGGAGTTCATGGATGCTATCCTGACTCTCCGTGGCTCCTTGGAGCCCTGCTTTGACCTTTTGTGGCAGCCCCAAAGAGAGTAAATGTACCACGGCCAATGGCAGGTGAACCCTTCAGGACTGGACATGATTGCTGCCTTGCAATTGATTGAGACCAGCAGGGAGGCTGGCCAACGTAAGTCGTAACCATAAAGTAGTCTTTACCAGACTCGGCAGCAAAACAGTGACAGACCGACAGGCATTGATGGGTAGGACGCATTGGCTTTTAAATCCTTGCTTGAATCCGCTTGTGCTGACTTCTAACTGCGTACTCAGGTTCCAATCAGACAACCGTCAAAGACATTGTGAACTTGCGCAAATTCACGGCAGACGAGTTTTCGAGCCTTCATGCGGTCCTCCACGACCTTTGCCATTTTCTGGCAGGCACTCTCATAATCACCAGGGTTGTTGAGCCTTGCTTTCTCACGAGATTGCGCCGGTTCAAAAAAGGGGTTGCTGTATGGGATATTATGGAAGGACTGCAGCCTCAAAGGCTGATACCTTCCATGATTTCGATCAAACCCATCGAGGTTCCCACTGGCAGGTGCATAAAACGAGCGATGCGTTCACCTATGAGACACGCAGCAAATAGCCCAAACGTCCCATTCAGTCAGAAACCATGTGTCGAAACACACTGTAGCCTGTGTTCGCTGCGAGGCCGTGGTATGACAACTGGATTTGCTCGCCGGCTATCTACTCGCTCCAGAAACAGGGTGCGCCGATTTGATGAAGTCTGATTTGGCTGAAGCCTACGCCCCACCGCACATCAGTTAGACTTCCAAAAAGAAGATGCAAGATAATTCGTCACCACTGGCCCACGACCATATCTGCGTCAAGCAAGCTTCGCAGACTCTGCAACAGCTTCACAAAGGTTCGTTCAGGGCAGGCTAGCCTACTCTTCAAGTCTCGCTTGTTGATTACAGTAGCAGGGCCACACATTTGCGCAGATGGAAGTGGCTTCAACAAAGGGCTCAGCCCTTTTTGATCTCAAGACCTTGCATACCTATTTATGCTCCTATGCGAAGTACTGGTACTTGCATGCTGCACACGTGAGCACTCTTTTACACAGGTCTTGCAGCTCAGCCATTCGTGCTGATTTTCCCTGACAGAACTCCAGCGCAGCATACGTGCACAGCATGTCGAAGGCATAAGCTTGCACGACGTTCTCTTACGCTCTCTGAATGCCTGAGGCACTTTGAAGTGCATGTCGTGCTCTGCCGTGTTTTTACATTGGTAGCTTAGGGACACAGAACGTGACAATTGGTGATCTGCTGCTGGATTAGGCTCGTTCCCTTGAGAGAGCGCCCACCGTTTCACCTTGCAACGTAGCAATCACAATTCCGCTTGGCTGACCTAAGGAAAAGCAGAATGTTCAAGCTGTTTTATGAAAATGCATAAGAGCCTCTTGCTGGTTCTTATAGGTGGAGCGGAATCATGTGAGCGACTGCCCAAATTTACTAGTACTATACCAAAAGCAACGTGGACATGAAACCATAGCAAATCACAGAAACCCTGTAAATTGATAGGGACCCCACCTAAAGCGAGAACTTTGATTTGTGTAGTGAAGCATAAGAATTGATGGTCTTCTCTGAGGCATCCAAAATTCGAGGTCGTATTATGTTGGGGAATCAGATTGGCCCCTAAATTTAAACAATAGACTCTAATCTTTTTCTTTATTAATAAATAATTTTGCGGAGATCTCCAAGTACTAGAACCGCATAATTTCGAATTGTTATTATTCAAAAATTTCAATCATTTGATATAAGTGATTGATTGCTTCTCGGTGGCTTTAACTAATTTTGGGTTTGTTCTAATTATTTTTTGAATAAGTTATTGCGAATTCCTAGTGAGCCTTGGTGAATTATTTGGCCTTCATTTAATGGATATTCAATTATTCAAGTTCGTATTTCTTCAATTTCTAATTCATTTTATTCAAGTTAGTTTTTATGATTTTATTTATTTTCAATTATTATTGATTGATTTTATAAATTTTCTATATGTTCTTGAAATTAATAGAAATTCTTGATATTATTTCAAGATTTCAATTGGTCAATTATTCATTGGGGGGAGGAGCGGGACGGATTTCATAATTTGAATAAAGATTGATTTATGAATGATTTAAATATTTTTTGATTTCGAAATTATTGGAGCGAATGGCGCGACGCGAATTTTGGGCTCGCGCATCATTTCTGGAATGGCTTTCTGCGTTATTATCTCTCTTTAATCATTTATGGAATGGCACATTCAGATCTGAGATGGGGAATGAAATTTTTGATATTTCATAATTGGTGGTCTCTATTTATGGGGAGACTATACGTTCTTTCTATTCTCTTCGCACAACCCGAAATCTCTATTATCTTGGCGGCGATTCGATAGGAATTGTAGATTTAGATTTACAATTATTCAATTATTCGGATTATAATTGGATGATCGTTTTTAGCTACGCATAATCTCATATATAGATTATTCGTCGGGATGCCCGCACGATTTTATATAATTTGTCGATTATTCGGAGGAATACGTCAAACCGGATTAGGGAATTAAAATCTTTCAAAATGAACAAATTGAATTTCTCTGGTCAGGAAGATATATGTGCTCTCTCGAGTCGTCGCATAGATATCTGAAGAGAGATAAATGAATTGGAAAGATGGGATTGGATACGAGGATCGCGCGATTCAAAATGATTCAAAATCTTCAAGAATTCGAGTTGTTGCTCTGTCTTTATTTATTTGTGCGGAGGCTCCGGAGAATGCGAAGATCCGGACGGAAATCTAAAATGATTCAGGATCTATATAGCGTATATATTTTTAAAATTTTGATAATATATTGGATGTCGTATATGATTTTATCTATATTGATTGATTATCGGATTTCTTTTTATATATTATTTCAAATATCTATTTTCTATTATTGAAGATAATAGATCAATTCTCGATTATAAGAATATTTTATTTACTAATTGAAATACAATCATAATAATTCAGAAATAATTCCTAAGAAATAAAAATATTGAATATCTGATCCTAAATAAATAAATATAGAAATAATTTGAATCTAATATAAATCATCTCAAATAGATAGCAATTAAATATATTTATCGATTAACTAAAAAAGAATTAAAATCAAAATAAATGATGATTTTTTTGAAAAATTAAGAATCTATTAGATTTAATAATAAGCAGAGGAAATTCTAAAGCAATTGAAAATTAATCAGAAATGATTATAAATAATTAGATCTAAAAATAAATGATATATAGTGCATAATTCATTTTGATCGAAAATTATTTCAATATTCGTTCAATATATTTTTTAATATCAATTGAAGATTATATCATATGAAGATGGGATTTAAAAATCTGAAAAAAGATATGGAATATATTTAAATTGATAATTTCAAAATATTCTCTATTAAATCAAGAAATTAATTGAGAAAATCGGGAGATTATGAATATATCTTTAAATGATATTTGATATTTTGAGGAAATTTCTTGGATTGAATTCAGCAGATGGATCGTGGGATCTTTTCTTATTAAGATTTCTCAGATATTTGGGTCAGAAATCTTATGAAATTCTTTTCTCATCATTGCCAAGAGAGATCTGAAATTATCATGAGATTTTTTTAGCTAAATTCTCGTTATAAAGATCAGATAAGCTCGTAAAAAATTAGATATATGAACGGTTTCCCGAGGATAATAATAAGAATAGAAATTGATATAATGATAATAATCGTAATCAAAAATGTAATAATAATATCAATAGCAATAATAATAATATGAATAATAATAAGAAAAATTGGAAATATAATCATAATCGAAATCGTTATTGAAATAAATAAATTATCTCTAATGATAATAGAGATCATAATCGAAATCCCTCCAATAATATTGATCGGAATCATAAATAGGATAAATATATTAAGAGAAATTCATAATAATTTCAAGAATATGAATAATGATATCAATATTATCAAGAATAGAATCATTAATAATAATCATAATCATAAATATATCTATAATAAGAATAATGATGATAATAATATTATTATTGCTAATGATTCTATTAATAATATAAGATAGTATCAATAATAGAGATGAAAATCATAATATTAATCATAAATATAAATATGATATTAATAGAAAAAGAAATCATATTAATAAGATTAAATGAATAGCAATAATTTTGATAATAATAAAAATAAGAAAGATAGATAATTTTTTATCTTTGATGATTATTAAAAATGCTAGATAATGATTAAAAATTCAAATTAGAAGATGATAATTTCAAGGATTGAATGAAAAATCAGAAAAGAAATATATCATATATTCATATTTATGATATTTATTATTATCGGATTTCTTAAAATTATGAGAATCCGCGAAATTATGATCTTGAGAATTTTCATAGATTCGATTTTCGAATTCATAGATTATTAGGAAATCTTTTATAGACGATTAAAAAGGAAGAAATTATTAATTTCAAGATTTGAGGATTTCTAATTCGATTCAAAATTCGATTTGAAGAAATAGATAATAAAATGGAATCCTATTATATGATCTCCTATTTTTCTTCTCATATCTCTATTTGATATTCTCTTCGCACGGATTCCATCTATATCATTTATCTGATATTTATCATATATAATTCGTTTTCAACCTGATCGTATTCTTCATATATTAGATTTATAATGATTTTCTGCCTAATTGGGAAATAAAAAAGATTCAATTCTTTCGTAATATCTTAATTATTTTCTTTTTCGAAGGACCGCAAGAATTTCATCGAAATTTATGATTTTGAAATTCTATCGAATTTCAGAATATAGATCATGTGATCTAGTCTTTGGACAGAGCCCGTGATTTATCGATATAGGAGATATTCTTGATATAATTTAAATCTGTGAATATTGCAAGAAAATAATTGAGATAATTTATTGATATATTCATATATATTTTCTATCATTTGAAATTGGGATTTTCTATAGATTCTTATTTCTTCGTATGATATCTTCTTTTATCTGAATCGTTATAGATCAATTAGAATTTCATATTATTCGGATGATAGATACCGTCTTTTCTTCTTATTATCTTTCTATGATTTCAAATGATTTCGATATCTTTATCTCCTCAAATGATAATATATCAAGAAGATCTTCATCGAATTTTCGTTTTATTTCATTACGAATTGATAGATTCTATATAGAATCGTATATTCTCTATTCATCTTTCCTTTAGAATCAAAAGAATAGATGATATCAAAAAAAGAATTCGTGTATTTCGAAAATTCGAAAATAATATCGGAGATATCTTATAATTTCAACGAATATATATAGATTTATTATATTAATTGAATAAGAATTCTCTCGAATCATTAGTTGAAATATATATATTTCTATATAATAATATATCATAATTATTATATTTCATTTATATGAGATTCAATCTTATGATTTTCTAATAACGATTCTTATGATAGATATCAAATAATTAGAAATCATTTTAAAATTCATCCCTCTAGATAAATAGATTATAAATTTCATATATCGACGGAAAATTAGAGATCTCAATATGTCCGATATCTCTATATCCAAATCTCGAAAGACCGTAATCTAGAATAATCCTTAATAATATCCTGATTAGAAATATTCTTGATAAAATCTTTAATTTGGAATAATCTCGAATAAGATTCTAATTTGAAATAATCTCCAAGAAGATCTAAAATAAAATTAAATCCTAAGATATCCTTATTTAGAATTAATCCCTCATATCCTAATAAGATTATAATTGAAAAGATCCGAATTTGAAAATGTAGTCTTCTTAATTGAGAATAATCTCTTATAAAATCTTAATTTAGAATAATTTCGAATAAGCTCCTAATTAAGAATAATCTTGAATATAAGATCCTAATTAAAGATATATCCTAATAAAATCCTAAATAAGAAAAAATCCTAATATGATCTATAATATTGAATTATAAGCATTATAAAAAGAAATCCGTGAGATCCAAAAAATAAAAATAATAAATTTCAATTTTTCATATTCAGAAATATATATTTTAAGAATTCAAAAAATGAAATAAATTTTTGATATGAGCTAAAAAGATTTCAAAATAGAAATTGGGAATAGATATATTAATAACTATTTCAAAATGATAACAAAAAATTTCAATAATAATATCTTATCCTAATCTATTTCTATTAGAATTATGAATGCCCTATATTGATAAAATAGTATCCTGCATAAATATAGATCTTATAGAATAAGAACATATTTTCTGAATATCATATATTGAATTCATTATTTTAATATATCATCGAGGAATTTTAATTCTCTACCTTCAAAAAAAAAATCGATCCTCATCATCAAAAATAATCTCCTTGCCGAATAGAATATAGAAATAATAAATATTCCTTGCCACCTCCTCCCAATTTTATTCTTAATGAAAAATCATTGAATTCAAAAATTATCAATTATATATAAGAATTTCATTTCATTCGAATCTAATTATCTTCAATAATAGATAAAATCATATATTCATTTCATATCTAAGAAAAAATATTAGATTCGTATATATCTTTTATCCATATTTAATAAAATCTTATATATTATCTATTGATAATTCTATCGAACTAATTATCTAAATAATAATTCCTATACCTATTATTATTACTTTTGAAAATAATATTTATCGAATTTTTTGAAATTGATAATTGTCGAAATCTCTCTAAAAATTCGATTCCCAAATTAGAAATCATAATCATCAAATATCTCATAAGAAGAGATATATCAATTTACAATTAAAATATTCTCATATTCTCTATTTCATTGCTTAGACATATCTTGCCTCATCGACCTCTTTCGTAATCTATTGAATTTATTCAATCTCCTATCAATTTTCGATTTGATAATCTATCCGTCGTTGAATTTGTCGATTTCATTTTAAATTACAATTATTTTTTAGATTTTCTCTGTCTCCCCGTCTTATACGATAGAAGGTCGGCGGATCTTCTTTTCCAGATTAGCAGACGGATAGATTAAGAGATTGCAATCCGACGAATAGACGAACGGATTACAGAGAACGTTAGATTGACCGAATGAGTGGTACCCTATTATTTGCCCATCAATACGATCAATACGATTCCACGATAGACCGACAAATTGGGAGTTGGATTCGCAGGTCTACGCAAATCTACGGCAACGGCATCGCCCAAACAACCAAATCCAGATGAACGAGGCGCAGAGCGTGGGGAGGGATATTATGGCGGCGTGCAGCCAAAAAATTCTGAGATTCCAATGCCTCTAGCTTTTCCGAACGGCTCTAAAATCTCGAGAATTTTTGATCCACTAGGGAGGCCGCAGGAGGCATTTTAACGGAGAATCGGAAAATTAGGCCACGCGTGAGTGACGTGGCCGCAAGTGGCCGCGCGGTTTTATTGAGGTATATAGCCATCCAATCTAATTTCTCGTGACAGCTAGGGATGGAAATTGAACAATTCCCTTCGCTCTTTCTGGTTGGAAGCCTCCTCAATATCCAGAACGTACTGCACTAGGTCAGTAAATCGCAAGGGAGCAGCATGTAACAGCAAAAAGAAAGCAGGCAACGCCAAAAGAAGGGACAGCTCTTGCTTCGGGCGATCCAACTACTCTAAACGAAGTCCAAACTCCGAACTGAACTCCCTACTCAGAGACTTCCATACCTGTGCCTAAACGGCCAGTCTGCTTGAAGCCACAAATGTCAGAACTTATTCATTTACGGGCTGCGCACCTTGAAGACAACTCCTGAAGCTCAAGATTCGCGTCAACTCCAAGGCTAGGCTAATAGAAAGTGTGGGGCCAGCTTGTGATGGAAGTTAATTTGTCGATCATGCCGATCCTGCCAACCTGTTTTCACAGGCGTTGTGGAGAAGTCAACTGCAACCACGCCGCACTTTTGCATTGCTGACTATGCGCATAAGTTCAGGTCCCTTTGTGTCAGCATGTCGCAACGAAGACCTCGGAGGACTGTGCAACCGGTTTCGATGCTTAAGGAGCTGTTGCATCCTGGTTCAGATGCCAGCAATTCTGTAGCACCTATCCGCCCGGAGGCAGGCGCACGCGGCAAGTACTTACGAACAAGGAAGGTAAAGTCTGACAAAGCCCTTTGCCCAAATGAATACAACTAATACGCTACCTATGCAAGACACACAACATGCTGCCGGCCGCAGCGTTTGCAGTGAGGAGACATCCAAACTTCTCAATTAATCAAGATTCGACTTGGTGGACAAGCATTCTTGCTCATTAAGCAATCCGAGATAGAACTGCATACTAGCTTGATGCAGGACTCTCTTTCACAATCCTTCTTGGCACAAGTCAGATCGGACTTGCCTCCAGGCCCTTCAGCCTCCATCCTAATCTTTGTACCCTACGTATGGGCACCTGGCAACCGAGAGTTCTTTTCGTCATCATTCTTAGTTCCCAAACCCAAGATTTGCAAGGCTCCCAAAGCCTCTATGCTAGGCTGTATGCCTTCCATGTCATGAAGGTTGCGTAAAACGAGTTTCCTAAATTTTCGAGCTCTCATGGGTCCCCCACCCCAAGGCAGTAAACTAGTCCCAGCAGTATTCTGTGGGCTTGTGGGGCGACCCATGATCCTGCACCCTCTCCCACTGTGTCAGGGCTCTGGCGCTTCCTGCTGGGCTCAAGAGTCGCCGGAACCTGCTTCTCCAGTTGAGGAAAGGAGGCTCTATGAAGCTGTAGGCCTGTGAGAGTCCTCATAGAAGCCCTGCAATTCTGGAAATGTAGTTCTAAGACACTCACGCGCTAAGAGTGGGCAGGGTCTTTAGACAGGTGGCAGGCGCTTTGCTGCTTTGCATGAAGATGACCAGTGCCAGGCCTTACTGTTGCTGAGTCTGACTACCGCTATGACGATTACTGCCCTTATCCTCTACTGCTTCCTTCTTCCCCTCCTCCTCACCTGCTGCTGCTATTACGCTTGGTCATTGCCATTGGCATCGTAGCTATAATCGGCTTGCCAGACAGTTGTTCATGTGTAATTGTGAAGGTATGTGTTCCGTTTAACGTTCACTGCGCATTCCCCATCAGCTGCAGCAACCTCTGCAATCCTTCTGAGAGAGTTTCTTCACCGAAAAGTCCAGCTTTGCCGCTATCACCCTGAATGCCCCATGACCATGCGCTCGCTTTCTACCAGCATCATTGCACCTATGTCCCCGGTGATTCTCACAACTACCGCGCACGATACCGTTATACGGTCTTGGCGCTAAGGTATTCTAGCTCTCTCTCCGCTCTGTTGTGTCTTCCTGCATGGCTCAAGAACACCTCCCATTCCTGCTTGAGTTTGCTAAATTAGGAATCCTTTTCTGGGTGTCTCTACGATAAAAACCTCAATAATTCCGGCATTTTAGAGGAACCCCTGAATTTTGGAAACTCCCTCGCCCAGTCCTTGCTGGCTGCATTCAAGTGGTCACTGGCTGCCAGGAGGCGGCAGACTCCAGCCTCGGGTGTGCAGCACAGGTGTGAAGAGCATGTGCAATCCTTAGAGTTAGAGAGACAACATTCCCGAATGTTACGTTTATACATTATCACGGAGAGCGGGGTCTTGTGGCAGCTCTGGGTCAACGACCCATACGACCCAGAGGGGAATTGTCGGTGTTGTGAAGGAGATCATGATTGTGGGATGATAGTGTGTAGTGCAGAAGAGCGAGTTGTGCCTGCCTTGTGAAGACTACGACCACAACTGCAAGAATGTTCAGCCCGAAAATCATACATGTGGACATTCATCTAGTGGAGCGCCCTATCAATCATACACATCCAAAGAATCAATTAAATTCTCGTAGTAAGGACCAAAGTACAGGACCCCGAGTTTGACAGAGACCCATTGAGGTCTGCAAAGCCCATCTCGAGATGCTGCATTCATGGGGCCACCATGCGAGGTTCCCTCCACATTGCAGGGTTGTTTATGTCTTCCCTTGAGCTCATCTGTGGCGGTCGATGTGTGGATCCGAAAAAGGTAATGGTAGGAATTTCAAAGGACAAGAATGTGCACGTCTCTTCGGCATTCCAGACATTGACCTCGATAAGCTGCATGGAACTAGGACATCTAGCTACACAGGCACCCTCCATGTACTCAAAGTCAATTTGTCCCCTTGATTTTTTGAGTCATCCCAGTTAGCCGTGAACTCTACAGTCTCTCTACTCTAAAAACCCCTGACATCCCCAAAATGAGGCGCACATCATTGCCCACATTTACTGCTCCAAAGTAAGGAGCTTTTCGAAATTTGCGGGTCGCTTTTTTGGGTGTACCGATGATAAGAGCTATAGCATATATACGGAAATAAATATATACATATATAAATATGGGCCCTATTGGGCCCTACATTTATTGAAACTTTCACAAGCCCCTGGTGAGAAAAGCCTGAGATCGTGACTCCTCTGGCCAACACTGCAAAGTTGGGATCGCCGGCTACCTGGAAGTACGAAGCGTGCTTCCTTCCCCTTCATACCAACCGCCCGCCCCCTGCCCCGCAAATATTGAATACCCCGTTTTTCATACCATTATATCAGGGGGAATATCCAGTATTAGGGCGGAGGGGTGTCATTGTGGCAAGAGATGTTTTTTTTGGGTGGAGGGAGGTTCACGGCGTCCCATTTTGAGTGAGGATTACAACACATTGGGGCCTATATGGGGGGTCCTCCTATTTATATATTTATTTATATATTGGGGGTCCTCCCATTCATATATTCATGTACCACTTCTGGAAATTGTTCTTGATGACAATACGTCAGAAATAAGAGTAATGTCGCTGATAGGCAGCAACGATGGAAGCTCCTCACTACACATGCGGGCCTTTGCCCAAATGGCACTTCCTGAAGCCAATTGTTCGGCAAAACAACGTGTGACTTGACGAACGCGGGTGGCTCCTTGCATGGCCCCAAAATGCCAGATCAAAACACCAGTGTCGAGACCCAGACCGGGAATTAGTCGTCTAGTGAAACCCCATCGAACCTGCCATAGGAGGAACCCAGAACCCTAAACCCTGAACTCCATCCTGGACCTACACCCGAAATCTGCAACCTGGTCCCTGAACACCAAGCCCTACAACCCAAATATAGAAGCTGCCACATTTTTCCATTCCCTACATCACGCACCTGAATTGTACATCTGGTAGGGTGTGAAGCCTCCATTATTTTCCGCCCCCTGATATGTAGGGTCCCCAAAATAGGCCAGAACCTGACAATCCCCCCAAAAGTCCAAGCCCTCCCCATAGCACCATCAGTTTCAGGCTAGCTAGCTATCATTTTTCTTTTCCATGCGATCTAACCCCTATAAAGCTCTTGTAAATCCCTGGAGAACCCTTTCAAATCCCTGATAGAAATGCTATGAATCCCCAATATAACCCCTGTAAACCCTTATATACCTTCTGTAAGCACCTATATACCCCTGTAATTTCCTATAATAAGGTCACCACCCCTCATCTCACTCCACCTGCGAGGCTGCGCTGGCCAGCTGCCGCCGAAGCAGAGCGCGGGGCAGCGACAATGGCGCTCCGAAGCCCGACGCGGACTGGGACACAAGGATTTGGGGTTCAGGGGTTAGGGTTTAGGGTTAAGGGCACCTAGCGCTCAGGCTTTAGGGCTTAGGGCGGTCAGGGCTTCGGGTGGACAGGATTTGCACAATTAGTACCAAGGATGGCCGTGGATTGCTGGCAATAAAGGGATGTGCGTTTCGGGCTAGAAATCATCAAGAAGCAGCTTCGCTTTTTGGTGCTTGAATACCTCAAATCCCGAAACTCATCGCAGTGACGCAGCAAATGATGATCAGAGCTCGTCATGGCAATAACAAAAGGTTGATGATAGTGCTATAGGCTATTAAGCTCTTCATAGCAATGGCAAACGGTAGTACTGGAGCTGACCAGGAGGCTCGGGGGTTGACTCGACCTTAAGTCGAGAAGAGCCGAAGGTGAGTTCTTGTTAATTATATTCGGTGGATGGACATTATATAAGTACAGACACCGAGGGCTTTTTTAGAAACCTAGTGAGTCGATATGTGAGTTGTTCTCTTGGGGTTGGCAAACTTGCCCCAAACCCGAAACCCTTTGGCCTCAACCTCCGAGCTCGTCGCTTTGGACGAGGTCTGCTCCTGCCAGAGAGCTTGGTGGGGACACGGAGGCACGTCTTCCACCTGAACTGAACAAGTGATTCTCAAAAGTGCTTTTGGAATCCTCTACATTCAACAGTGCCCCTGGTGTTTTGCAATGCAGAAAGCGATCTCTTCTGTCAGCGACGTCTCATGCCAATACTATACCAAAACTTTTGAGGATCCCGCTAGGCCCTCAACTCCCAAAACCTAAACCCCCACATGTCTTTTGCTGTACCCTGCCAGCCCGGTTTCATCAGGACCCAATGAGGGACACTCAGGGCTTAAGCTGTTTCGGTCAGTCCTAATTCACATCTTACATAGGTACACTCCCTGCCCCTTGACCCAGAGTTCACGAAGAATTTTGCTCCTGTCTGTTGATGATACCTTGCTATAATGCACACAGGTGATAAGATACAACAGAAGCCATATGCCAAGTGCATGGCACTACCTGCGGCTCATCTGCATTGCCCGTTTTGATGTTGTGGCTAGTTTGACTCGTGCAAGGGAACACTGGGATCTAGTCCATTGCCAAGTGAGCCTCAAAGCAGCTTCCGTCCAGCAAGCAGCCCTAGCCCAGAAAGCTGCTGTTCCACTGTGCTAACTCTTTACGTCTCTTTACCCTCTGCTGCTGAGCTTTTTTGCCAGAAAACTCAGCTTTGTAGCTGGCCCTCCGGTGACAGTCCTGCAGCAGCGCCATGAGTCTTTGAAGCAAAGAGGTGCGAAGCTCCCGCAGCTCTTCACACTCCATCACGCCTCTGCCAGAATGATCTCTTTGGGCGCTTGAAGTTGAGATTCCAAACTTTAAAATTGGTTTATACATTTTATACGTTTGTGACAATTCTAATCTGTCTCGCAAAAATGAGTCGGGGCGTAACGCGGCCTTTTCGCGCGCATTCAAAAGCAAGACCCTCTCGCCGTGCTGTACTCAATCAACGACATTTGCTGAAGGGTGAAGTGTTTTCTTGGTACAGGGGGACGCGGGATGGTCGCGCCCGCCTTTGTCCAGCGCGCACGGTCCCGACACCGACCTGAGTGCTCTGTTATTGAGTGCTTCAATTTAGACTGAGGCTGAGGTGCTAAATGCGGATGAGGGGGCCTGTGGGTTCTTTGATTGGCTGGCTGTTGCAACCAGGGGGGAAAACCGGCGGTTTCGTAAATTGTGCTCCAGCTGCAGAACTCTAAGCAGCGCTGAAATTCTGATGCCGAGATGGCTTACACAAAGCTCAGGGAAGTACACGACGAACACGGCCTAGGAAAAATGTTGCACCTACATCAAAACACCATGCAGTGGCAAATCAGTTCCACATCTTTCCAACCTTCTCGAACCAAGCCCCGGATTCCAGGTGCTGGAGTGCTCATGAAAGCGTACCCAAATAGCAAGAGTACTTAGAAGACAAGGGGAAGTTTCTTGGATGCCAATGTGAAAGCGGGTGAAAAATCTTTATCACATCTCAGCGGGAAGCGCGGGCCGACACAAACCTACAGAATGCACACACCAAAGCTTCTACACTGGCACCCAGATTGTTATTCGGACTATGTTTGTAAGACGCCTGGAACCACCCTCCCGAAATAGGTCGCAGAACCCACTTCGGCCCTGACTAATCTCGCCCCAGACATTCATTCCTATCGACAGGCAAAGCCAATGTCATAATCACAGCCAGGATACCCAGTCTCGAGCAAATGAGTGACGAGCCTGCCCATTTTCTGTGAGCTGTCACCCTACACCGCTTTTGCTTTCTGGTTATGCGTTGCTGGCAGAGCTCTGGAGAGGGAAAAAAAGTGCATGAGTTTGTGCTCAAGCGAAAACCTATAATTATGCTTTTCACTCCCCTAAGACGATAAGTGTAGACTTCTGAATTTTGCCTTGCAACTGCAATCAAAAGCGGACACAAAGCGCTGAAGACAGCTTACCTCGGGTGCAAGGAGACCAGTGACTCATAGCCCGTGACTGTCAGCTCCCGCGAGGCCTCAGTAAGCTTCGAACAACAACATGGCAAGACATGGCGTGCTAATCTGCTTTTAAGTGGCGCGCTAGTATAAATTACTTGCAATGCTACAGTTTGGACAGGTGTGGAAACGGTTTGGGCCCTGGCACTAATCGTGGCGTGTGCTACGCCGCCACTGCAAATGAAGAGGTCGCCAGGGCGCAGGAGGGCAATCCGCGAGGCCGACCTGTCAACTTGCCATTCGAAGATCCACGGTCCGCGATGTACAATGACATATACAGGCGGACATGAACCGCAAGGCGTTGCGCACCTCAGTGCCTCCAGCTGAGCCGTGCCAAGCGGAGGCCGGAAGTGGGCATCTGGCAGCTCCCGCACGTGACGCGTGCTCTCAGCGCCTCTGCTCAGTCTACAGGCGTTGGAGGCAACCCCCCTCCCTAAAGCTCAAAGGGCGGAGATAGCGCCTTTGCCTTAACCTGTGACAACCGCCAACTGTTGCCAACAAATATTGCTCAACAGCTGTTGGTCGCAAGCACTGTGTAGATCCAGCCTGCTGGCCAGGTCACCATCAGCTTGTAGCCCCTGCTTTGTGGTGGCAGTGAGAGGACCATGGAAAAAGTCAGCAGACATGCGTTGCGTTCAGCTAAAGATGGCAAGACTTTACGCGGTGGGGAAGCAGCGGCATTGAAACCTGAATTGAAAGCAAGTTTGTTAGATAGACTAATGAGCCAAACACCCAGCGTCATGTCTCACATGCGCCACATACTGAATCAAGCGCGGGTGCCTTGCCTCCACTGTTTGCCAACATTGCTCCACAGCACCTGTTTATGTTGAGCATCAGAAGATGCGTCTCAGTGCCTGGTCTTGCCGTTGTGAGACCCTCCAAAGGATCAATTCAACCCAACTCGTGCCCTTTGAGACCTCCAACGTTTCGTCTGCCGCCTATTGGGCTCAGATTGTGGCCACCAAACAGCGGCGAAGCAGCGATGCTGACTCACTCAGCAACGTTCAGTGAAGCACTATTCATCATGATTAATCAGACCGAATCAGACACCTGCTGCTAGCATAAGCCACCGCTCTTACAGGGGCGGTAAGTTTACTTCGGAAGCTGCTTCGGTAACGACCCATGCCCCATGCTGCCGCTGCGAAGGCGCCTGGTCCACATGCAGCCCTTTGCCGCTGCCACGACCCCCAATGAAGAGTCCATCGTCGTAGCCTCAACAGTAAAGCGAGGCTAAACGCTCGAGGGATTCTGCCAACGATGTGCTTCATGTGCTTGCTGCAGTCTCTTGCCGCCGCCGCGGTCGCTGCTGCAAACAGAAGGCCAACACTGCCACCACCTCTGGCCCTGAAAATTGTGATGCAAGGTGCATCAACTTGAACACACAAGTAGAATCAAAGGAGACAAATTGTCACAGTTGCATCCAAGGTCCAGGGGACCCTTGTCTCCAGACATAGACAACTAACTAAGGATATCCCGTTTTGCAAAATTTTCTGGGGAGGCTAGTTTGAAAACAAAGCCTGAAAGGAAGCCACCCTGACTTGCTTTTGGGCTGCAGGCAGTTCCAATACAGCGTCCATCGAGATAGCTTACCGAACCAATCCCTTGCCTCGGCTGCTGAAAGAGTCAGCTTCCCAACGTCGGTTCGCATCCCAGGGAGATCGAGGGTTCTCAACACACTTCACACTTCTTGCCGGTCGTTCTCCATAAACCATTGACACCTAACTCCGACTTAACTGCGACCTAGGTGCGTGACGCTGGCAGAGACTCTTCGTTGGATCCATGCATCCGTAGCCAGCAGCAGCGTTATTGGCTTCTCGCCTTGAAACTCTCAGAGAGGGCACCCTCGCCAAAATGAAGATGATCAAAACATCTCCGTTGCTATATCCTTCTACACTACAAGATTCAAGCGGGATCCATGAATCCCTACCCTACTGCACGGACTGCACAGAGTTTCAGGCTTGCAGCAGCCTGTGGTCAGAACCACAGTTGAGTTGTTCTTTAGTTGTGGTCTTTCTTGCCCTGGGGCGTGGTCACGGTGTGAACGTGCCACGCTGGATTGTGTAGCAACAACATTGACAAGTGACGCATCCTGATCCGGCCTCGTGGGCCCTATGCAGATCAGCACGCTTGTAGACAGAAAGGCTACTAATTATTAATGCCTTGGCATCTGGGAACAAATGCAGCAAGCATGACATCGCCTATCAAGGCTCGCCGAAATGCACACGCCAAATGCCATTATCCTTACCGCACGACCCGCCCCCCTTAAAAAATCAAACAACTCTTCGCGCATACTCAAAAGTTAGGCCAGCTGCTCGCGCAAGCGTCTCAGCTCGCAGACATACAAGTGCGACCTGAGCAAGAGAGCCCCCGCAGATTGTTCGAGATTCAGTGTTGTCACTCCAAAGATACCCTGATCTTAAACTCCATTACACATGATACACTGGCCCAGGAAACACAGCACTGCTGTTCGACCATAGCCATGTGTCAGCACTGAGCTGCTGTTTTATACCCCCTCGATCTGTACTCTCTTCTCAAAGGCCCAAGAAGGAAATGCTATTGACATGTCGGAAGCCAGGATACTCGTCGAGATCACCTTTGGCTTGGAGGGCCTGCCGCCAAGTCAAGAGCGCTCTCTTCTGGCGTGACTTCTGGGCGAGGTTGAAGCAAGTCAGTGATGGCAAGGAATTCGACCTGCAAATAGGCATCAATCCCCATGCCTCTGCAGCCACCAGGCGCTGTGAAAGATCCCGCCAGGCCTTGCCAAACTTTGGCAGAGCACTGAGGGAGCAGAGCAATGCACAGAACAGAGCAACGCAAATTTCCTTATGCTTGAACCTTTCTGCTGCTGATGCGGCCGCGGCCGTTTTGCACATGCAAACACGCACGACCCACCGTTTTGCGCTTCGAATCTCCCCAAGTGGACCCCAGTCCTCGGGGAGCGCCCCCGCTTCTGGAAGCTTCGTAGCTCCTCCGCTGCAAGCACAGCCAAGAGCAGCAACCCTGCCGATCACTCTTGCAGGTTAAGCTTGACAGCGCGAATGTTGTGGTGTGAGAATTTTGTGCTACCAGTGGCGTTCCTCATCGTAGCAGCAGTCGTAGCTGTAGCTGTACCAACACTAGGCGCCCAGGGGCATTTGCCAGTTCATGCCACGCCCAGCTGATAAATCCGCCACAAGCTTTTTTACCCTGATGCCCAGCCAGCTACTACACTAAGCACTTACTCTTCTTCTTGACATGCAGGCCCAGAAGCTCTACCTCGACTGAAAAGACCCACACCACCAACTTATCCGACGGCTGGCTCCGCACTCGCCGACAACTCGTCACCCCTTTTGGAACTCATGCAGATTCTATGCTACCAGGCTCGATGTGTTTTTGCTGGACTAGCCTTGTTTGCGAGACCACGTAGGATGTTGCACCTGGAGCATGACCTAGTACATGACTTGTGAACCCCCAAAACGTACTACACAAGAGGGCAGCCCAGCATTTCGAATAAACACCATACGACGAACTAATTACCAAAGCTCCCACCCTAGATACCGACAAAAGAATGCAATCTAATTGTAAGGACCCAGTTCTGTTCCACGCCCCACGCCTGTCTCATCCCATAAGCAGAAAGGATACCTGGGAATGTCTTCAGACAATGGGTCTGTTTGGGGATTGTGAGGTTTATTTGCGGCAAAGCTAGGGGATACAGGTGCGGGGGTAATTCCAGTTAATGAGGCGACCCATTTTACAACTTTGGAATCAATTCTGGGGGATACAGTTGGGACCCCCAATTTTGAGGCAGTTTCATGATTGCAGACTTGCAGCATGTGTTCCACAATGGGAACCCGAAAAATTGCGACACCTCTTGTGATGGATAGCACGAAAGAACAATACGGCGTAGTGGCAAATGGAGATCTCTGGAAAGCGTGTCATTTCGTTACGAATCTGGGAACCTTCGTTCTGACTATTGACCTCCGAGGTTGTGGACTGATGGAGAACGTCAGGATGAAAGCCCTGAAGATCCCCAACCAACAACAACCCCTGCAAACTTCCTATGCCACGTCTGGAAAGGAATTTTATCCCAATCCCTCTAAAAGCTATCTCAGCATTGCACGTAGAAGTAGGAATCGAAACCCTCAATGAGGAGACCTGGATGATGTGAGAACCGGATGCGACAACTGTCCGACCCGACAATATGTGTTCCATGCGTAGCCCCCTTATGGAGGAATGGCAAAGGAGGCAAACTTCTCAACAGCAACTTCCGATCCTGTTCCCAGATAGGAATGCTGAGCCAAACTGAGGGACGCCCAAAAAAGAACCGTTAAGTGCCTTTCTTGGGCCGTTTCACTCAGGGTGCTACTACCTCCTAAAGCCAGGTCACGGTCGGGGCAGCGCCTCTCGCTGCACCCCGCGGTCATCCGGAAACTCCAAGGCGGCCTTGGGAAGGGGGTGGGCTGTATTGGTTTATGTGTACGGTGCAGGGTTTTCTCAAGGGGGTTTGCAAGCTTCAAGTGAGGGAAGATGAGCAGCAGCAGCAGCAGCAGCAGCAGCAGCAGCAGTCTTGAATAAAGACTTACTGGCAACAATTGCCAAGTATTAGGGGCAAGGATTACAGTGGACGTGTCAGCGGCAATTGTACGAGAAAGCAGTATGCAGCAGTGTGCAGCGGGTGTGGCAGTTTTCGGTTGTGTGACCTTCAGCAGGGTCTGGAAAGATGACTTGACAGTCATGCGTGTACCACTTGTTTAACTTGCGTCCACTCCGACTTGCTACTCATTCTAGGCGCCTGCTTGCGGGGGATACCTGCAGGCAACAGGAATCTGACAGACATGATGAATCTTTTGCAGGGTTTTTGTCGCGAAGCGAGCTTGACCCGGAAGTCCGGAAGCGTGGCCTTATTTGCACAATCAAAACCCCCCCCCCACACACACTAGTTGGGACTAGACACTAGTAAGCTGAAATTCAGACCGGAAACATTAAACGCAACAGTATTGGATTGTAACTCATGCCATTACGACCGCGTCATTCGAAGACAACGAAACACTGAGGCTGAAAGCATCAAATCCTTGACCTGAACCATTCAATTTACGACGTCCACTATTCTGTACCCAAACTAGCCGCCCGAAATCGGAGACTCAGAGAGCCTATGCATTTCAATCTGAAATCTTGTCAAATGCCGAGCTCGGAAACCCTGATCCTCTTGATTTTTTCCTACGACCCAAATTAGCATTCTTGTTTGGGGGGTGACACTCATCTGGACCCCGCGTCATCCATGCAAGCTACAGCCACAGCTCCCCCCATACCAGCATTTGCGCTGAAGAGGGAGACTCTCGGATGTCCCGGGCCCTGTGCAAGATAAACGGTAGTTTCCATAAGTAGTGGAGCGCCAATATGGTACTGTTGTTCTATGGTATCCCACAATAGTACAAAAGTGTTGGCAAATCCTAATCCCTGTAAACCCCTATGTAATCCCAGTTTCCGTGTCATGTTCCATGTTCTGTTCTATTTGATTCTCCATGATTGGGGTAATGTCCTAATTTCGAGAAACCCTAAACCCTAAAAATCTCTATATAACCCACATATATATATAGATATATACATGTTATATATCCCCTAAGGCCTCTTTCAAGGTACCCCTAGTCTTGGAACACCCCAAATTCAGCCATCCAGGCGCACCTTGTGGGCTGCCAGCTCCGATGGCTCAAGCTGACGCAAGCACTTCAAGACCTCAGCCAATGCTCCAGTAGATCCCTAACGGTTTAGGGTTTAGGGCTT